TTTTCTCTCTCATCAAATCGAGCTGATTTTCTTTTAAAACAAACCTGGTCGGCCGATCGCCACATCGTCCAGGACGATATGAACAAAATCCAATCGTCCAGGACGATATCTCAGGACGATAATTAATTTCCTTGGACGATAAAAACCCTTGCTCACTGACTTTTGTCATGCACTGATCGTCCCAGGACGATCCAAAATCGGCCCGGACGATCCTGGAAGGAAATCAAAGAAACGAGCTCTCACACAATGTTTGGGCAATGTCACACAATGTCCATAGTCTGTCGATTTCGACTGTCTTCGCTCAATTCAACTTTGAGGGGTCCCCCCCAAGTAAATTTGATGCTTTGATCGCATCGGCGCAGTCCGTATGATGATCAGAGGTCATTTGTGTAGTTTTCGCTAGCATCGCGCTTGCCAACAGTCATGCACATCATCATTTTTTATTGAGTTGCGCACTAATGACTATTTCTTAGCAAATTCATTGTTCTGAGCGCATCAATGTGATCTATTTTACGATCGGGCAAAATTTTGAGCTATTTAGATGGTGATCTAGGTATTCCGATGTTCTTGATAAGTGACATACCCGATAATCACTTTCTTTGATATACTCGATTGATCGTGGAATATCTTTAGAGGTCAACATAATTATATAGTGATTCTTGAACTACTTTTAGCATTGTATTTTGATTTTTGACAATGTGAAATGAGGAAGCCTATTGTGTTACTCTAATGTGTTGATTTGTGCTATGACACCATGCAATGTGACTTGAATATTTTGGAATGCTAGTGATGAATTATTAGGTCCCTGTTCTTTAGTTGTAATTTATAATTTGGAATGACTTTTTTCTTTCATCATAATTTGGCTGTATTTAATTTTGGTGTGGTTTGTTTTTAGGTATTAGGAGTGCACTGCATTCAAAATATGTGGGTGTTAACTTTTAGGTGTTTGATATGAAGTCAATCAAATGCAAAGAACTAATCTTAGGAATTTGAAATACCGTCATACCGTCAACAACTTTATTTTTTTGACTTTTGAAATTATCCCATATAAGGTAAAAGTCAAATTCATCGTTTACTCTCTACAGCAAAGCCATCCACATTGGCAACGTTCCAACCTTGCCGCTTCACATTCTGGTGTTGTTGTCTGTCATCCTATGTTCTAGCTCAACATTCCACATCCCAATCCAAATCACCATCCTTTTGTCTCTGTCGTCTCACATCCTGGTCCTGCAACCTCACAATCTTGACTTTCTTGCAATGCCTTCGACTTCGTGATCACAAAAACCCACCTAAATGCGGTGCCTTAGATTCATTTTAAAATATGTTAGAAAATATATATTTAGAAGAATATATTAATACATAAATTTTGATTCATGTTTCGTCCAACAAAAAAAATCCTGAATTTAATTATAATCAACTAAACATTCTTAAATATCTAAAAGTGCTGTATTTAGTTTACTTTGCATTTGGAGTGAACATTTATTTTTAGTACTTGCAACTGAACGGCCCTAGTTGTTAAATCAATATTCTTAAATTGTATCTTGCATATGCTATGGTGAATGGAAATTGACATCATTTAGGATTTTAATAAGCATAGCATTCATGCTCGTGTATTCAAAATTTTAAGCTGCCTTCTTGGGTTTAACATTAGTTTAGGCTATTGGGTTTTGCTTGTTTTGGTGTAGGATTCTGAAAATGATCATATCTATCATTCGGAGCTCTTCACATTAACTAAGAAGATGGCAATGGGAGAATATCAGAAGATCTCTTTCACTGTACCAATATTTGAGCCACATCCACCACAATACTACATACGTGCAGTTTCGGATTCATGGTTACACGCAGAATCAATTTATACTGTATCTTTCAATAATCTGACATTGCCAGAGGTAAGCTTATTTTAAGAAAATGTTTTATCCTGTACCGTTTATGGCTTTTCTTTTATATTCAACTTTTCTGCTAATATATTTAGACACAAACATCACATACGGAGCTTCTAGACTTGAAACCCCTTCCTGTGAGCTGTCTTGGAAATCAAACTTATGACAACCTATACAAATTTTCACATTTCAATCCAATCCAAACTCAGGTTTGCTTTTTAATTCCTGTTCCCTTTTTATAATATTTCTTGTTGATTCTTATACTTATAATCTATCTAATTTTTCTAATTTGGCAGATATTTCATGTCCTTTACCACACAGAGAGCAATGTCCTCCTAGGAGCACCAACAGGAAGTGGAAAAACAATATCTGCTGAGCTGGCAATGCTGCAACTTTTCAATACTCAACCTGATATGAAGGTTTGGTTTTATTTTCAGATGAAAATCACGCACTTATCAAGTTACATAACTATATCATTGCAGGTAGTTTACATTGCACCGCTATATAACTATATCATTGCAGGTAGTTTACATTGCACCACTTAAAGCTTTAGTTCGTGAAAGAATGATTGATTGGAGAAAGCGGCTAGTTTCTCAGCTTGGGAAAAAGATGGTATGATGCAAAATTTACGTGACTTACAGAATAATTTAATTTTAATTTTATCATCATATTATAGCACATTTTGATGATCTGGAAATATGATTATTATTATGGTAATAATAGTAACAACGCTGTTAGGTTGAGATGACTGGGGATTTTACTCCAGATATTATGGCACTATTATCAGCTGATATCATCATTTCTACTCCTGAAAAGTGGGATGGAATTAGTAGGAGTTGGCACAGTCGAGCTTATGTGATGAAGGTAATTATGTTAGCATGTTTTTTATATAGTTTCTTGTGGTGTCATACCTTTCTTGCATGATAGCAGTTGGAAATAAACTCGTGTATTAGCTTTTGTAAGCATTTTTAGATGGATTTGTTGGTGCTTAAAATTCATGCAGTCTCTCCCATTGCATAGTTTCTAGTTCCTACATTAATGTCACTTCTGTTGTGATTATGTTGATCAATAGGTGGGACTTATGATATTGGATGAGATTCATTTGATCGGGACTGACCGTGGGCCTATTCTTGAGGTAAACTATTTGTTTTTATTTTGTTTTCATGATGAAATCATCTTGAAATAGTTGGGATAAGATTAATGGTGATGATGGTGCTTCAATTGTTAATGCAGTGAATAAGAAATATGCATTCCATTCTTCATATCTGAATTTTAAAAAATTTATTGAATATTACTTTTCATTTTAATAACATTAATGAAGATGAACTTTAAAAAAATCATAGAATATGACTTTTCATTTTTGTAACTTTAATGAACAAAAACATTACATTGCAGCCAGAGTTATGAACTAGAAATAACAAGAGTTCTATACAACATCGAGCATTCAGGTTAGCCTCAATAGCTTGAAAATGAACTGATGCATATCATATCATAACTCATACTTTAATGTATATATGTAATACATCGTCACAAAAGCACCTTCTAAATTTTTTGTATCAATACATTTTGCAAACCTATCACATCATCGATAGGGGTGTCAATAAATGAGCATACTTGAATCAGTTGAAAATTTGGGCTTAGGTTGACCCGATTACTATTCGGGTCAGGTTTGTATACTATCAACTCGAAGTTGACCTGATTATTATTTAATTGTAATGCTTAGGCACTTTGTAATAATGAAGTTTGTCATGTCGGATGCATATACTTACCTTACACGTGTTCAACTGTGTCAAACATGCTATCTACGTGTGCAACTAAAAAAATAATGATACATGTGTCTTTAATAATAAATTATAATATTTAAAATATAGTTCATTAATAATTTAAGCCATCTTCTCTCTTTTATTTAAAAATATATTACTTTTAGCTAACAACCTATATTATCGTGTAACTATTTTTTCTTCAATTGAGTTTAAGGTATTTTATAAATTTAAATATTATTCTTATTTTATAATTAATTAGAATTAATTTATAATTGTAAGAATTCATTTCATATTTATTTGACTGGTGCAATTACTATATATATTCAAAATTTTAATATGTAATATTATGACATGTCCACATGCGTATGTGCCCTATATTTTTAATGGTAGATGTGTCCAATGTCCGTGTTATATCATGTATGTATCAGTGCATTATGGCTATTTAAGTTTTGGTTTTGAAAAGTTAGAAACAAATTGTTAAATTGATTTGTATATTATAAGATTAAATGGGTAATAATTTTCGTAATTGGTTCGGGTTGATCCAACAAATTTTATGATTCATATTATAAACGGGTTAGACTGGTTGGGTTCAGCTTATGCATGTTCGGTTCGAGTCAAGTTTGGGTCAAATATTTTAATCCATATAATAAATAGGTTGGGTTCTAATCGAATAAATTCCGGTCGGGTAAACTTCGAGCCATACCTGAACTTGATCCATTAACTCGAATTGACACCTCTAATTGCTGGGGTGATGGAAGGAAAATGAATCAACACATGGGGACAAGCGTTCTCGACTAGTATCATCAGGGGTGACTTCGTCTTTTAACATACATGCAAGCATTGCTATACATTACTTCTTTTGCATTCTCCTCTACATACATTGCCTATTTGAGTGGAAAATTGCCTTAAGTATATGTTCTACGTAAGCGGAAGTTGTTGAAGCATAATATGAAAATACATGCATGTCATTCAAAGCAATATGGTAGATCATTTAAATTAGAAAGAGAGAAATCATTGTAAAGCCTTGTTTCCATCATTTTCACCTCAAGGAGCAAGAATGATAAGCATAACAATTAAAGGCATAGGTTTAGGAGAAACGATTTTCTCCCATTAAGAAATGGGGTCACCCAAGTTATAAGAATTTGGATTATGAGCATATGCCTTGGCATCACTTTAAAACTCCTTTCTTGCATGGATTTCTTCATATGCTTAAGTTCATCACCTTGTACATTTGTTAAATTTATGAAGTCACTTTCTTTTAAATGATTCTTAAACATAAGGATAAATCTACATTTGTTTAATTTATTAAGTCACTTGCTAGTTCAATTTACCAATTGTCTTTGTATAGGGAGTCACATAATCTCCTACTCAGATTATATGCATAATAAACATAAAGTGAAAAATCCCTTCTTTATTAAGTTTAGCTTCTTCTTGGTTTAATCTATTTCAAAGCATAAATGTCTAATACCTTATTGAATCTTCAATTGATATAATCCATTTTCTTGATACAAACATTTAACATCATTCCTAAAATTTAGTTGTCACTAATCTAAATATAACCATGAATGTATGGTTCAAAACATCTTTAATCATGTGGTATCATTTCTAACCTTTTTGGTTGATCTAGTGATAGGTTTACATATCTTAATATTCTAAATTCTCCATTAAAAATCAGATGGGTTAAAACCATACCCAAAATATATTAAAATAAAAGTTCTGATTTCTTTAATGGTTTCTCACATTACTTATTCAACACATTTTTAAGGCATCACAATGCAACATGTTAATTCTAAGGTTTTTTAGGAGTTGCATTATTCTTGAGTTAGATGGCAGGATAATGAAGAAAAAGATAGGAGCTCAATTTCAGGCCCTCCACTTCCCTACTTTGTCTCGATCTTCTCTCTTTTTCTTGCTTGGCTTGCCCTTATCGATGCAGAATCTATGCTTATTGCATACAAAGATGTATGAAGCTCTTCCTCTCTTATTTCTTGCACACATTGAACCCTAAGGATAACCTATGTGTCTCCCTTACTCAATCTCCTCGCACGACCTGATTGCAACTGAACTTTCTCTGGCGCCAGCTTCTTAAGCGTTAGGAAGCATCAAACCAACTTTCTTTCCCATTTCCGTTCTTGATTTCTCTCTTCTTGATCAACTGCCCGTCGCCTTCTCTTTGGAATCAAGCTATAGATCACCGGAGCCTAGCCTACCTCTGTTATACAGAAATACCATGTATTTTAAATTAAAGTAATTACTGTAACATTTTACTTATATTATAATATATTTCTTATGATAACATTAGATCATAAATGTGAAATCTTCTCTAAATGCAAATGCACTTAATCTTGCAATTATATTTGAAAAATTATTTTATTTTTCTTTATTCATTTATCCTTCTTGTATGTTAATAAAATTTTCATTTAAATGAAATTAATATAGGTTCAAGCATTACCATAAGTTATTGCTTTTTAAATGTTTAATATGACACGAAGGTTCTTGATTACCTTCATAATTATTTTAATAATTACTAAATCTAATTAATTACACTTTATTAATCATTGTTTAGCTTAATAGTTATAAGGGCCATATAAACTAGGTGTGTTATGTTGATGTTATGTGTAAGTTTGAGTTTCTTTGTCATTTGTATTCATTTATGTGAATCTGCATCAAAGCATTTGTTAACACGGATGCTTTTAAGTTTTAATTGTGTTTATGCATGCATGTGTCTTTATAGATCTACATTTTTTATGAATGCAGATATGGAGTTATTTATGACTTATCTTCATCATAACATAATTATGTCATCTATTTGAGTTTTCTTTATGAATCTTCAGTCTCCATTCATTCTTGTTGAGTGCTATATGTTTATTTTCTATTCATTTATATTAGTTCCTACGTGTTGCGATAACTCTATTTTATGCACAGTTTTAGGCACAACTTCTAGCACTGTTTCATTTTCTGTATATATTTTTTTCTTAATTTTTCAACCTATCATCTTCCACCTTCCATATTGCATGTGCAAATCACCCAAATTTATTTTTTGAATAACTTTAATAGATAGAATTATCATCGACTCTTTAATATAAAGATCTCTCAATCTAGCTTCTCATTTTTATCACACACTCATCTTATAAATAGGCTCGTTGTCAGTTTAAATGCCTACATGCATGCATGATTGCCATGGAACTATATGCCTTGTGTTGCACTTTTTATAATTTCCTGCGTTCAAAGCAGACATGCAGAAATATGGACAAATTTGAGCAAGATCTAGTGCATAATGGAACTAACAGTCATTTTTCTTTTATGTACTTTTTTCAGGAGTGCATCATCTTCTAATACTGGTTTGTGTGTGCTTGCATGCATGATTGTTTGGTTGGGCATGGACTCATGTATGAATGAATGGTTAAAGGGTACAATTTTCAATGCATGCATGCATGCATGGGTAAAGCCACCCGTCGTGCTGTTACGTTTTTTGGTCTTCAGATTTGCAGTAGGAAGTTGGGAGGTCTGGTGTACATCTTTGCTTCGAATTATTTAATGTAATTTATATCATCCATCAACTTTTTGCACTAGACTCGAGTCTGTTTCCTTTTGATCTTCTTGTCAATTTTTCTATTTCCATAGAAGCTCCTAAAGTAATAGAAAACAATTTTCTCTTCTTAATCTAAATTAATAATTAGGATTTAAAAATGCAATCGTGATCGTACCACCACTTGGATGGAATGTCTTTTGTCTTTGTTATGTAGCCCTTATTCACCTGGAATTAGGGGTGTCAATATTTGACACGACCCGAAAACTCGAACCCGACCCGTTTCGGGTTCGGGTCGGGTTTTCGGGTTCGGGTTCAGCATTTCGACCCGTTTTAAAAATCGGGTCGGGTTAACCCTTTGACCCGCAAACCCAATTTTGACCCGACAACCCGAGATTGACCCATTTTTGACCCGAAAAGAGGAGATTGACCTCTTTGCTTCGAATTATTTAATGTAATTTATATCATCCATCAACTTTTTGCACTAGACTCGAGTCTGTTTCCTTTTGATCTTCTTGTCAATTTTTCTATTTCCATAGAAGCTCCTAAAGTAATAGAAAACAATTTTCTCTTCTTAATCTAAATTAATAATTAGGATTTAAAAATGCAATCGTGATCGTACCACCACTTGGATGGAATGTCTTTTGTCTTTGTTATGTAGCCCTTATTCACCTGGAATTAGGGGTGTCAATATTTGACATGACTCGAAAACCCGACCCGAACCCGAAACGGGTCGGGTTCGGGTTCAGCATTTCGACCCGTTTTAAAAATCGGGTCGGGTTAACCATTTGACCCGAAATTGACCCGAAAACCCGATTTTGACCCGACAACTCGAGATTGACCCGTTTTTGACCCGAAAAGAGGAGATTGACCCATTTTGACCCGAAAATTAGCCATTTTTTTGTTGGAAACGGGTCATTCGGGTCATGTCGGGTTGACCCGGACCCGAAGCAGGTCGGGTTCGGGTCAGGAAAGTTGACCCGTTTTAAAAACGGGTCGGGTTTTGGTTGACCCGAATAGTGCCGGGTCAGTTTCAGGTTCGACCCGAACCCGACCCGTGACCCGAAATTGACACCCCTACCTGGAATGCTTAGTTAAATTTCATGAAAATTTATTTATTAATTTCACCTTAATTTTTTTTTCCATGAATGTGTCTATAAATTGGCTGAGTTTAATGATCATATTTATACCCAATGTTATGCATTTACTTGTATAGTGATTAAGGGGATGTAAAATTTCGAAAATTTCTTGGTTAAAGATGATTCTGCGTAGGATTTAAAATTTTGTGAATTCCTTGATTTCTAAAATTTGTTGAAAATCTGTCAATTGTTCTATTTTTTCCTTTTTTTTTTGCAAATGCTATATTTTTTAGATTTCTTTGACTTATTAAGTTTTTCATACTTTTATCATTTTTGTGTGATAACCTTGAAGGTCATTGTTTCAAGGATGCGGTATATATCATCTCAAACAGCACGTTCCATTCGTTTCATTGGTCTCTCAACTGCTCTTGCTAATGCACGGTTTGTTTTTCTTGGAGTTTTGTCGTGCCTCCTCCTTATATCTCTCTCCTTTTTAAATCTTTAAAACATTCTCTGCAGCATCATATTTAATATTATTTTGTATCAATTTATGTGCAATGTTTCATGCTATTACTAAATACTTCATTAAACAAACCCCGATTTAAGTCTTCGGGCAACATACAATCACCTGCTTAGTGTCGTTATTTACATATGATCCAACTATATTTAGTAAACATTGATGCAATTCGTTGCTAGCCATCTGATTCATGATGTCTGAATCAGTTGAATTATTTTTATTAGGAATAAGCTAACTTTCATTGTGTGATTTATTATTTTCACGAGGTTTTCATGCAACAAGCCTTTAGGGATAGTTTGACTCACTATTCTCAACAAATAAGCCTTTAGGGATAGTTTGACTCACTATTCTCAACAAATTTCTATAAGTGAAAATTACATATGGGCCACCAAAATCATTTATATATGAACTATTGAATATATGCATTTGCATGTGCCACAATCAAACTATTTGAATTTTATTTAAAAAACTAGTATAGCATGAAGTAATTGCAAAATATTACTAGATAAAAAAAAGGTAAAAACATACATGATATAGGTCGATTACATCACAATGAAGTAGCTTTCTACTCGGAGAGAAGTCTTAAGGGTACAATCCTTATTAAAAATGTCTAGCTTGAAGTTTTGTATATTTTGGAGTGCGACATTAGATTTTTTTGCTATTTTTTCCTCTTAGCATTTAAAAGTTGAAACTTTCTTTGACTATGAATTTTGTGTGCTAGAAATGCTAATATTAGAGCCAACAAATTGAGAGCATATACCATCAATATCCCAATGACAAAATGATCATTAGGAGCCAACAAATTGAGAGCCCATACCATCAATATCCCCAATGACTGAATGATCTTTAGTAGTGAAAGCATGTGATGTATTTGGATCAATAATCTTGTAAGTTGTTGCAGGGGCACTCTTTATCATTGGGCTAACATAAAGAAAGACACTCAATTCAAAGCAGGATCTAAAGTTGATTCAAAGTTTTGTGTACAAATTGTTGGAGAAATTTTATCATCCTCAATGGATTGAGATATTTTACCTCGAGCATGACATAAAAATAATATATTATTCCGAAGGACAAAAATATTATTCCGCTATGGACTCATTAACAAAACTCATAATTTTATGTTTCAATAGAAATTTGCCCTTATTCAATATTTGGTTGAATGTAGCTCATTTTATTTAGGGGTATGGATGCCCAATAGGGGTAAGCACCTATAATTAATTACATTTCAAGCATTGGTTACTTTAGAATACTTTTGATTAAATTAGTGTTTATTTAGAGTCATCAAAATATTGGCTAATTATCATTCTTAATTTTGAGAAATTCTTGTTCAAAGATTTGATATTTGAGTTAAGGGAGAGATGATCCGGTCCATACGGGACCGGTCTAATAGAGAGGCGGAAAACATCCACCTCTATTTTTGCGTGATCCGGTATGGAACGGTCTAATAGAGACCTAAAACTGCATAATGAGAGTGAGGAAAGCGGTATATTATAAAAATGCATTTCTCAGCTTGAATGGCATTGGTCTTTTTTAGAACAAGTGAATCAGTGCTATTGGTAAACTAGTGAATCTTGAACCAGAAGAATGTGATGGCAAAAAGCAGTCTCAGTCATGCCTTTGCTTAACTCGTTGCTTCATGAAATGCGGAACATAGCCTTATTATGCTTCATAGTCTCTGCTTGCATTGCTATATTGCAGCGCTGCTACGTTACACCAACGATCATTGCTTCAAAATGGTTCTTCAAGGTTTTACTTTAACAACATTGGTCTGTCATGTTTGTCCCAATGTCTTTGTAAATTTCCAAATCTAAATAATTATCTATTCTATGATTTTATATTTATGCATCTTCAAAGCTAATTCAACTTCCCTTTTTTTTTGAAATATTGATAATTTTTTTCATCTTGTTCTTTTTTAGCATTTGTTTTCACTTAACCCGCTAACTCTTATTTGTTTTGTCGTTGAGTTTTCAGAAAACTTTTAATTCAATGAATTTATGTACTATTCATTCTTAGGTTTTAATGCTTATGATATTCTTGTTGCCTGAAATAAGTAGTGCTTTAAACTGTAATTGTACTTCTAATTCTCTTATGCATCAAGAACGGATCACCTGGTCATTGATGCACTTGCCTATGACATAATATGCAACTAGTTTGTTTATATAATTCATTTAATGGGATAACCTTTTTTTTAAGCATCAAATTAACCAGTTCTTGGCTATTTACATGTGGCTGTTTATAATAATCAATTTTTTTCATGAAGAGCAAGTTTCCCTCCCTCCGTCTTTTCCTACTTTCCTCTCTCTCTCTCTCTCTCTCTCTCTCTCTCTCTCTCCCTCTATGTGTGTGTGTCTTGCCCCTTTCTCTTTCTGAAAATTTTATTTGTTTTTTTAATTTCTATCCCAGTGATTTGGCTGATTGGTTGGGTGTTGGAGAGGTTGGTCTTTTCAATTTCAAGCCTAGTGTCAGACCTGTACCCCTTGAAGTACATATTCAGGCTAGTTCTCTGGTTATGAATTTTTCTTGTAATTATGTTTTTATTTTTGCTCTTTTTTATATGGAAAATCGAAGGTAAATGTGCTGTTTAGTTGTCTTGCTAAATCAGGATGTTTCCAAATTGCAATAAGTTTTTCATTTCATTATTTCTGACGGGCCAGTCCTTCACGAAATATTAATTGTAAGAAATGTAAGCCAAGTGGCGTTAAATTAATTATTAAATTTTGTTTTTCTAGAAGTTCTCTGCAAGCCACCATTGAAGCTTTATGTTTAATATTATTGATCGAATATCATCATCCACTACTGAAATTGTATTTATATACAAACCATAATTTATAAGTTAGGCTTCATCTTGTAATCCTTATTAACTGCCTAGTTGATTGCATAATATATCATAATTTTGTTTTGTGTGGGAGCCATGACAGAAGGCGCTATACTATGTTCGCCTCAGTGGCTGCACGATTACTTATTTCAAAAGAACTTGCCCTTCTTTGTGAGATTAGCAGCCACTTGATTTCATAACAAAGAACAGAACTCAGCATAATCAAATTAAGTGTGGAAATCCTGAATTAGCAGCTCAAATCCAGCCCTTGGAATCAATCAACAACCCACTGCTGCCAGCCTGTAGCCAACAGCCACCTATGGGGTTGCTGCATTTCCGGCAGTGCCAGCTGCTCACCAGCTTGTTCCAGGCGTCTCGCCAACCTGCAGGCCTCCAACTAGCATCCATTGCCATTCCTCTCCCTGCTGTCATGCTCCTAACTGCGGTCTATTAGCTCTTGTTACCTAACGGGGATTGGATTTAATTCTTACATTCATGCCATACTTTATTATAAATTGATGTTCCTTATTTCTAACTCTTTTATGAGGTCAGTGATGATCTTCTTGCATTACCTGGTTATCTTTCTATTTAAGGTGTCTTGTTGCTCCTATAAATAGGATAACCCTTCTGCATTTTGATGTGTGAAAATAATATAGTATTCTTCTACTATGTTATTTAATCATGAAGTTTAGGCATTGTTTCGATTAGGGTTTTTTTTTTCATGCATTAGTTAGGAGTACTTGACAGAAGGCTAATTAAGGTTGTTTGGGTGAAAAGAAATGCGAAGTAACTTGTCCAAAAAAAATTTTGTTAGAAAATGGTGCAGCTGGCTGTGATCCATAAAATAGCTTTTCATATGAATCTGATTGGAAACCGGAATAGTATAAGCTCAACTAAACGATCCCCTAGACAATCTGCGGGTGTTGGGCTTTTTTTAGATAAGCATTTCTTTTGGCTATCTCGATGCTAGGCCCTTGTGAGATCACTTCTGTCTCTTTTTATATTAAGAACGTAGGAATTCGAGGGGTTTCTCATCTATCAATGGAATCCATCTTGATTTATATTTTTGTATTGAGTGTCTAGTGTCATTCATCGGGGCTACTCTACTAAATAGTCGTTATATTTTAATAGGGCTATCCGGGGAAGTTCTACTGCCCAAGAATGAATAGCATGAATAAACCTGCATATGCTGCCATTTGTACCCATTCCCCCTTAAAACCTGTTCTTATTTTTGTTTCTTCTCGGCGTCAGACTAGGCTTACAGCATTAGATCTCATTCAGGTATGCTCATTTGTTTTACCTTTTTTAAGTTTTGTAATTTATGGAATAATTTCAGCAGTTTTTTACTATGCTGTGGTACAAAAACAGCTTGCAGCTGCAGATGATAATCCAAGACAGTTTTTGAATATGCCAGAAGACGAAGTAGAAATGGTCCTTTCACAAGTTACTGACAATAATTTGAGACATACTTTGCAGTTTGGAATTGGGCTTCACCATGCAGGTTTAAATGACAAGGATAGATCTTTAGTAGAGGAACTATTTGCAAACAACAGGATCCAGGTACCTGCCTCTCACCATTGTGCTTAGAGGCCTGCCTAGGCTTTTTTTGGTCCTATTAGATAGCAGAATGTAGACAATCTAAAGGGCTTCTACCTCTAATCAAGAACATACTTTTACTTGGAATATAATTCAGATCTTAGTATGTACTAGCACGCTGGCTTGGGGAGTAAACCTTCCAGCTCATCTTGTTATTATTAAGGTGTGAGAAGATATCAACTTTTTTCCTCTTTTATTGATAAGTATCTCCATAGTTTCCTTTTGAAATATCAGTTCTGTTGCAGGGGACTGAATATTATGACGGAAAAACGAAGAGATATGTTGATTTCCCGATAACCGATATTTTGCAAATGATGGGTCGTGCAGGTCGGCCTCAGTTTGACCAGCATGGGAAGGCTGTCATTCTTGTTCACGAACCAAAAAAGAGCTTTTACAAGAAGGTTGAGTTATAAAGCTTGTTTTATGCCAATATCAATCCACTGAAAATTCTTTGGTCTCACTCTTACTCTTATATGATATTGACAGTTTCTTTATGAGCCATTCCCAGTTGAAAGTAATCTGAGAGAACATCTACATGATCACATAATTGCAGAAATTGTTACCGGCACAATTAGGCATAAAGAGGATGCCGTTAATTATCTAACATGGACCTTTCTTTTTCGTCGGTTGGTATGATATTATGCCTAATTAGTTCTTAAGGTCCCTTGAAATGATGCATTGTTATTTATTTGATTTAATGTTTTAATTACCGATACTTTTCTTTAATTTTTTATTTCAATTCAATTAATTATTAGTACATAACCAGCTAACCATAGCCTGCTTCCTGTTTAAGTAGGTCTAGAATTCATCAAATTATCAATATAGCAAGGTGTCAATAAATGACTTGACCTGACAACCCGACCCTAGCCTAATTTATTTTTCGATTGACTTAATTACTATTCAAGTTGGTTTCGGGTTTGAATTCTTGATCTGAATAATTTGCGAGTTGGGTTCGATTTGACTTGAAAACCTGAAACTGACCTGAAATTTACCTAATTGTCATTCGGGTTAAATGGGCCATGGTTAGTTTAAACTATTCGTATTTGGGTTAAATTGGTTGCATTGATCTAAAAAAAATTCAAGATCCTTATCATAAACAGGTTAAATTGGTTAGGTTTGTGTTAGGTGAGTTTGGGTCGGGTCAGGTTTTGGTCAAATATATTCAGCTCAGATCAAGTTCAAGCCTGTTCAAGTATATTTTAGACATAATTTGTCTATCATGTGTGTGAACCCGTCCTCCAATACGAAATTACACTATATAGATTTTGTTTGACTTTGCAGAATGTCATAGATCCTGCATTGCATGTAATATAGTCAGACTTAAAGATTAGCCACTTTAATCAGTTATGTGTCATAGTTTTAGCAGTTTTCCAAGTGGAATTATTATGATTCCAATCAAAATATATCTCAACATTTTTTATGCATTGCTAGCATTTAATTTTAGTTTTGGTCATTTTTGTAATTTATGATGACCATGCTAGTAGAATAAAAATAATCTTATGTCCAATTTTGAACTTATAAACAAAGATATATTTCAATATTGTTTATCTGATTGTTATTGTATTGGTGTACTTGTGTTTACTTTAGTTATAAATGTGGATGTCATGTGGCATTTATCAAGGATCATGATCCACCTTTGTTGTAATCCTAATGTCAACTTAGGTCAGGTAAAATTTTTATTGTATATAGAACCTATATTTATGATTGTTGTGAATTAGATTTCCGTTTGTTGAAGGAACATTTAAGTTTAAATATATTCTATTTGATTCCCTGAAGATTTTTTTAATATAAAAATATATATTATTTGGTGAAGTCTTCCTAATTTTAGATTATCATGTGAAAATTTTTCTCCAATTGTATTTAAGATGACATGAATCGTTTGATGATGGTTGTCAACCTTACCTGGTACTATCATATTGCATTTGTCTTTCATTTGCTCATGCAGTTGAGATGATGAAAGAGGGGAGGATGAAGGAGAAACTCTATGTATCGACTTGGAGCGATTTGCATGTACAATTTAAATTAAGAGAGGTCACTCACAATAGACCTAAAAAATGATATAATTCAATCAATTGCAGTTTGATTTGAATACAAAACATAAATTCTTATTTATTGAAATAGTGATACAAAGATTAGGGCCATTAGGCTAATGATTTTGAAATTAAATCTAATAGAAGAAACCAAGAATAGAAATGAAGAAAAGAAAATAATACTTTTTATTCAACTGCACATAAAATCGATATATATAACATAGTGATGAAATGAAATGCTTCAAATATAATCCAAACAGTAGATAAACTAATACAGAATATTAAATTTTAAATCTAATTGATGTAGAACTATATGAACATATGATGCTATTAACTTTGAAATTGCACGCTTATGAGTGAGTAATATCAATTATTCGACTTTCTACGACTTAAACAAAAGATTGAAAATAATAAAGCAATGATTAAGTTTAGGCAATTGATTACAAGACAAAGTTAGAAGCAAAAAATAATCAAATCAATCAAGTTTTGCTTAACGTGGGGTTTCCAAAGGAAAGCCCTCGATTAACAATGAATAGTCACTATTAAGATCTCTCACACATGCTCATATTAGAGGGCTAGGTTGAGAAGCTTTCATAATTTTGATGATGCCACAATCGAGGAGTTAGAAGATAAAAAGGTTCGGAGGAGAGTTCACCTTCATCAAGTTTCTAAACTTCACCCCAACGTTCTTCAGGATTCGAGCGATGTTCGTCTGTGGGTTCGCTTTGAAGCAAACACTCCTTGTAGTCGACAAGGGATGAAGTGTTCTAGGGATTTGAATGTGGCCGGCCAAGGGAGGAGAGCTCCCGTCTTCCTTCCTCAAAAAAAAAAAGAACAAATTAGGGTTAACATTTTAGGAGGAAGGGGTGAGGATAGGGTCGACCATCCAAGGGAGGGAGGAAGCATGAAAAGTAAATTCCAATTTTGTGGAAATATGGTAGGGGAGACACAATTAGGGAAATCAGGAATTAATTTCAGCAATTAACGAATTCTGAAATTGATTTTGGGAAAGATTGATTAGGGGGTAATTAATTGGAAGGAACAAAAGGGGGAAGAGGAGAGGGAGAAGGGGGCGACGGCTAGGGTGATGTGGGAAGGTGATTTGGGGAATTAAAAGAATTACCAAACATAGAATGTTAAATTAAGGAATGAGGGATTATGACAAATCCCTAATTAATTTAAATTGGCGTGATTTGAAAACTTTCCTAAGATAACTCATCTTATTTTAGTAAATAAATTTCAAATTTAAAATAGATTGAAATCTGAATTTATGACCTTCCTAATTTAAAATGCGTCATAAATGGAAAGTATCAACTTTGTGATTTGAAATTTGGAGGCAAGGGAGGGGATGATGTGGCTAGCGGCTAGGATAAGGGGAAGAGTTAGTGCCGGCGGCTAGGAGGGGTTTGGGCTGGCCCCTAGAATGAGGGGAGGGGATTTGGGTCGGCGACTAGGAGGAGAGGGGTGGTTTTGGGCCGGCGGCTTGGAGGAGGAGAGGGGTTGTTGGGCCGGTGGCTAGGAGGGGAGAAGAACCACGAGCCCGGATGTTTCCTGCGGTTGATGGGTAATGCTTTGCCCTCACCTAGGGACTTCAAACTCTTCAAGAATTCTCACAATAACTATTAGAATTCACCAAGAGACAAAGTGCAGGAAATTTTCTTTCTCATATCATCATCCCCTCCAAAGAGGAGGAGAGGCCTATAAATGGCCAAAATACAATGATATGTCTAATGAGAAAAGTGCCCCCTGGGGTCACATAAGGCTACTCCTTCAAGTGAGGGTAAAAATAAAAAAAGATACATAAATAAATCAAATACAACTAAAAGCTCAAAAATAAAGTGGTCCAATCATGACCGTAGATCTTCGGCCCCTTCTTTGATAGACTTTCCACGGTCGGATGTCCTCATCACTAATATTGTGTTGAACTTTATAAGGAAAAAACATGAAGGGAAATATGATAATTTTGAGTCTATAGAAGGGACACCGATTTCAACTCTCTCTCCTTTGCATGTGATAAAATAGGAGTTCCCATTGTTAACTGAATTTTTTTAATCTAGTCAAACTCTATTTCATAGAAAAATTAAATTTCATCTTAATTATGACTCAAAGTGACTCGATTTACATAATTTAACTAATTGATTCAAATTCGAGTCAATTTTGGCTCGATTAAGCTTGAATCGATTAAATTAAATCGATCAATTTATTTTTATTCGATTCAATTTAATTTCATTAATTTGTCCTAAATGCATCAAATTAAACTAAATGAGATTGAATCAAGTTAAATTGAGCTGAAATGATTCAAATCGGCTCGAATCGAGTCAAATCAACTCCAAGTAGAGCACAAAATAACCTGTTTGGTTTAGCCGTTGCCGAATCCAACCTTCCAAACAATCTCTTATTCTTAGTCAGACTAATTTAAAAGACAAAGAAAATATATAGATGGAAATTATTATTATTAATATTATTTTTATATAGATGGAAATTATTTGTTATCAAGAGTACTGATTATCATAGATCAATATGGCAACAGGTAAAAACATGGAGGAAGTCATCTAAAGGATACCCTTGGAAAGATAAATGTTAGGAGAAGAAAGAGCTTAAAATGAAAGGATATTAATAGAAAGCTTCAAACCTATGGATGAGGAGGAAATTGTTGTTATTCATTATAGCAGAAAATGTTCCTCTCTATCAGGAGACCTTCATATAGATGAGTTGTTGGAAATTAGAAGGAAGAGAGGAATAACAATTCTTAAATTCTTTTTTACTCTAGCAACTAAAATTAAAGGATGTGCAGATCCACAACACGGTTGGTGGGAGCAAGAAATATAGGGAGTCTATACCCCTCGCCCGCACGAACGATAAAAATCGGGACGACGACCCACTAAGCCACGAAACGACAAAGGATGGGAAGAACAAACTCTTACAATAAAACTAAAAAGAAGAAATTACAAAACACAAAATTACAACGACTTACAAACTTTGACACATAAACCAAAGACACCCTAAAGTTGCTGCACTTAGAGAAGAAAGATACAGGTGGAGTGGCACTTGCGGAGAGATGAAGAGATTAGAAGCAAAGAAGAAGGGTGGAAAGAGCCCGCAGGATTTTCGGAGGGGATGAGAAAGAAGACGGACAAAGCTCGCAAGCTTTTCCATGAAACCCGCAGGTTTACATTTCCAAAAATCACATATCATTCAACTTCTTCAAAACATTACATAACCCCTCATATTTATAGGTATGAAAGGGGAATACCAAAAGACACAAACATTTTATTCCCATAGGGATTCTAAAAGACTTAGCATTAAATCCAAATGCTTTTTTCATAAAAAAACAGCCCAAGCCCAGGAACCGAAGAGGCAACCACGGGAGCCAAGGAGACCGCCCAGAACCAAGGCGCCACAGCCATGGGAAAGAGCCCAGGGGCGGAAAACCAGCAGCCGGCCGGAAATCCAAGAGGCAAGGCACGGAAAACAGCAGCCCAATGGAGGAAGCCAATGATCCACCTCATGGGAAACAACATTTCTTGGAATTCCAAAGGCTAGTTTGGAATTCCAAGAGATCAACATAAAAAGCATAAAAATACATTTAATGAAAGATAAATATGAACTAAAATGTTAGCTAATAATGAGCTAACCCTTAGTTCAATAAATGAACTAAAGATCAGCTCATAAATGAGCTAAAATTTCAGCTCAAATTGATTGAGCTTGTAAAGTCGAGGGAAGCCAAAATCAATTTATTTTGGGCTTGAGTTGACCCCCCCTTTGTCTACATCAGATTCTCCCCTTCGTGAGGACTCAGCTCCCGATGAGTCAGTTCTGGTTGTCTTCCGAAGAGGAGAAGACGGAGCATCCAATTCATTAATCAGGTCTTCATATTTTTGCAGGATATCATCTCGTTCTTTCAGAAATTTATCTTGTAAACGTTGCTTCTTCTTGAACTACCTTTCTGTACGTATATGCATCCATGATTGAAGTTTGTATAGTTCATACTCCAGAGGATTTGCTGATTTTGATGGAATCCACCTATCCATAGGATCTTCAATTTATTCCGGTTTGCTTTCTTCTGTCTTTTTGTCTTTTTTCATTTTTTTGACGACTGAAACAAGACTAAAAAAACAATACTCAAAGAAAGACTCAACCTAAACTTAGACTCACAACAAGATTTGACTCGACAAAATAAAACTTGACAAACTAAAATAAAATTTGACCAATCACAACCTAGGACTTCCTAACTTGCTCTGATACCAAATTGGTGGGGGCAAGAAATATAGGGAGCCTATACCCCTCGCCCGCACGAACGATAATAACCGAGACGACGACCCACTAAGCCACGAAACGACGAAGGAGGGGAAGAACAAACTCTTACAATAAAACTAAAAAGAAGAAATTATAAAACACAAACTTACAACGACTTACAAACTTTGACTCATAAACCAAAGACACCCTAAAGTTGCTGCACTTAGAGAAGAAAGATATAGGTAGAGTGGCACTTGCGGTGAGACGAAGAGATTAGAAGCCAAGAAGAAGGGTGGAAAGAGCGTGTAGGATTTCCGGAGGGGATGAGAAAGAAGACGGACAAAGCTCGCAAGCTTTTCCATGAAACCCGCAGGTTTACATTTCCAAAAATCACATATCATTCAACTTCTTCTAAACATTACATAACCCCTCATATTTATAGGTATGAAAGGGGAATATACCAAAAGACACAAACATTTAATTCTCATAGGGATTCTAAAAGACTTAGCATTAAACCTAAATGCTTTTTTCATAAAAAAAAAACAGCCCAAGCCAAGGAACCGAAGAGGCAACCACGGGAGCCAAGGAGACCGCCCGGAACCAAGGCGCCACAGCCACGGGAAAGAGCCCAGGCGTGGAAAACCAGCAGCCGGCCGGAAATCCAAGAGGCAAGGCACGGAAAACAGCAGCCCAATGGAGGAAGCCAAGGAGCCACCTCATGGGAAACAACATTTCTTGGAATTCCAAAGGCCGGTTTGGAATTCCAAGAGATCAACATAAAAAGTATAAAAATACATTTAATGAAAGATAAATATGAACTAAAATGTTAGCTAATAATGAGCTAACCCTTAGTTCAATAAATGAACTAAAGATCAGCTCATAAATGAGCTAAAATTTCAGCTCAAATTGATTGAGCTTGTAAACTCGAGGGAAGCCAAAAATCACTTTATTTTGGGCTTGAGTTGAACCCCCCTTTGTCTACATCAACGGTGAAAAGATTAGATGAGATGGCAATTGTTATGATAGCTCTCACTAATTTTAGTGGCCCAAAAGTCCCCAAAAGCAACAGACAAACCTTCTACTATTACTGAAAAGGCTGAAAATATGGCTTAGATTGTTGAAAAGATAGGAAGCTTGGAGAAAAAAGAATCTGGGTCCGTTCATTAGTAGCCTTTGAAGGAAGATTTGAAAGGCTACATCAATTAGCAAATTGAAAAGAATCAATGAGCCAAACTCAGGGAGGTCCATTAGTCCAAAGGGGTAGGCTTTGTGTGAAAGATTTTGATATGGTTCTACATCTTAAGGGGTTTGTTCCATTTAAGTTGTTTGATGTAGTGGGTAGCTAACTATTGGGTGTAGCATTTGACTGCCATGCCAAGTTATGAAATGACTCTTTTTTCATAAAAAGGTCCGCCAGAGTCGGAAGAGGCGACGGGTGTTGGCTTGGAGTCACAGTCAGAGAGGCGGCAGTCGGTGTCGGGGTTGAAGCATTGAAAGCAAAGGTGAGTTCCTCTTCCTTCTATTCGGTTCTAAGAGCGTCAATGTCCGAATGGGTAGAATGAGCGTGCTCGAGTGGTTTTGCGTCATGAGGGAGTTACATTCAGTTATACGGGATCGTGGGATTGTGGGGGTAGTGGTGGTTGGCTGAGTTGTGGGGAAGGAGTTACAGTCAGCACACTTGCTTTGATGAAGTTATATTTCAAAATCTTACCTTATTTTAGAATGGGTTACACCCTTTTATCTTGTTATTAGTTATTCCATTTGTAGAATTATAACCACCTTCTGGGGTTTACCATCGCACATTTCCATTCAACAGGTTCTGAATCCATCTTACTATGAATTAGAGGATACGGAGAGCAAGACCATAAACACTTATCTGTCGAGGTATTTCCGTAATAATACAAACGTGATACTTTATATATATTGTAAGAGGTTGCCATTTTCTAAAATACATCTGCATGGTATATCAAAATTTCAACCTTTCTTTTCAAACAGGCTGGTGCAAAATACATTAGAAGATCTGGAAGACAGTGGTTGCATCAAGGTGAATGAAAATAGTGTGGCGCCAATGATGCTGGGTTCAATAGCATCTCAGTATTATATCAGTTACATGACTGTATCAATGTTCGGTTCAAATATTGGACCAAATACTTCATTGGAGGTAATTATAAATTATTACTTCACAGACTTTTGTGCCTTACTTTTGTGCTGTCTCAAGTTTGTTTGCACTTTTGGCCTCTAACCAGTTTCCTTTTTCCATTATTTCGTTCTCTTATTCATTCTTTCGATTAGGTTTTTCTTCATATCCTTTCTGGTGCGGCTGAATATGATGAGCTTCCTGTGAGGCATAACGAGGTATGTTATTTCTTATTCTTTATATTTTGTTGCTTGCTTATGCATTTCTCCTTATGCATTTCTCCTTATTGAGAAATAATTTGCATAATTTCTTTTATAAAGAATTTCTGTTCACTTTGTTGTCAAGCTTTTTGTGTGGCATTTCATTTTAACTCAATTGTATCCTTAGAAAATGATCTATTTATTGCTATTGTAAGATATCTTTAGCATTTTATATTATTTGTAATGACCAGTATTTAAATTTCTCAAAGAACTAATTGAAGTAGCTCTAGTGGAAGATAAGATTGGAGAGAGTCGCCTTAGATGATTTGGTCACATAAAATGGCGGCGTTCCGATAATCCGGTTAGGAAAGTAGATGTATTAGATTTGACTTTTGTTAAGAAAGATAGAGGTAGACCTAAAAAGTCTTGATTAGAAAATATTAGAAATGACATTTTTTATTAGATTTTAAATGAAAATTTAACTTTTAACAAGCCAAAATGGAGAAAAAGGATTCAAGTAGCCAACCCCATAGTGGGATAAATGCTTGATGTTGTTGGTGTAATGAACTTATTGTGTTCATTGTATGGGCATTACTGTTTTCACTCACAGGAAGACCAAGCTTCTCTTATATATTCTTTCTTGTAAATTAAAGTTAATATTATGTACAATATATTTTTTAAGTCTTTTAACCTCCATACCGCAGCAAAAAAAAAAAGGAGATATAAAAAAATCGGCTCAAATCATACCTTCAGCTCAAATCCTGAACAACAGGTGGCCCATACCCTTATCTTGCAAAATGGCGCCGAACTGTCTCACCTGTCCCGTCTCCCGCGTGTGCGTTCACGTTGTTAAATCGACGAGAAAAAGAAGCTTTCTCTTCTTCGCTTCTTTCCCGCACTCTGTTTGATCCGAAAAATTATTAGGTGCGGAGTGCAGACGGGAGAGCACCCTGTGCACAGACACAGGGTACCAAGCGGTACCCAGCGGTACCGAACGGTACCTAGCTGAATTTTATACTAGTGTGCGGATGGTTCTCCCCGTCTGCACTCCGCACCTAATAATCTCTCGTTTGATCCTCAGCTCTAATCCTTCTTCATTCTTCCTCCAACTCTCGCAACTAGCCTACTCTAGCCCCGACGCCAAACCGCAACTACCGAAGATTCCTCCTTCCACGATCACTGTGTTGAACCTTCTTTTTCCACCCGTCTTCTCCTTCAACCTGCCTCACCTGTCTGAACTCGGGTGAATGTCCGGCCTTCCAATCCGGCATCACCAGCCGGCCGCTCGAGCTGATCTTCACCCTATCAGACGCTCAATCCCAATAAACCTCTTACCTGCATCCACTCGACCTCCTCATCCGACCTCATCAGAGCTTCAAACCTCTTTATTAGTATTATAGTTATAATTATTATCAAAATTATTATAAATATTATCATTATTCTAAAAAAGAAAAAAAAAAAGAAGAAAAAGAGAAAATATGAAAAAATGAAAAAAAAAGAGAAGAAAAAGAAAGAGAAAAAAGGGAAAATAAAAGAAGATAAAAAATAAAAAATATTTTTTCTCCCGATTTGCGTGCCTCCACCTCGTTGTCATTGACATCGTGCATTTATAATGTTCTAAACCTAAAAAATCACGCTCTCGGCATTCGCAGCAAGCTTGAGGACCCCCTATACGTGCTCTTGTAGCACAGTACGAGGGAGCCCGGTGCGACGCTTACCACGAGGCGGGTAGGCCCTATACACGCTCTCGTAGCATGGCGGGGACACTTTTAAGTACCCTTAAGCGCTCGCGTTCAGTGGCTGGGGTCCTGGGGAAAGAGAATTGCGTGTTTTCAAACAGGTACCTCGAAAATCGATACACGCTCTAGTGGCGTGTGGGATTAAAAAAATGTGGCTGCGGTGTCACCCGACACCTACTTGAAGCACTCACGTAGAGTGGAGAGAAAAGCTATGACTCTCGGATTTCCTCTAACAGGAGAGATGTCAGGAGGCTGTTGAAATTCAGAGCAAATGCAGAGGACCTAAACTTGAATAAAAGGACTACAGGGGACTTTATTTGAACTCAAGTTGAACAGTAGGGGATATATAAACGCAAACAAAGATAAAAGGGAACATAACTTGTGAACTAATAACAAGGAAATGAACTTTAAATCAGCGGATGCACAATAATGTGAAAATATAAATTATGAATGATAATTCCGATCATTTAATTGAATATCAATGAATAACCAAAAGAGTAAGTGACAAACAAAACCCTCAATACAAAGTAACTTGTCATATTTATTTAGCCAGTCTACAGGCAAAAATCAAGCACTCACATCGAGTACGAGCTCTCATGAGTGTATTCAAGGAACCTTTATTGAACTTGATAGCTCACTCACAAGCATAAGACTTATAATGTACACAACAATCTGCTTGCTAGCGACTACAAGGAATATGCAATGATCGTGACAATTCACATACGAGCGTATGTAGGGTACTTGTAGTGAATAGAATAACGTGCCTACGAGCAAGAGCAAGAACCTACGATGCAAGCAACAGTTCACTTGCAAGCAACTACGAGAAGCTTGTGAGTGTTTGCGAACAACAGTAAAGAGCAAGGTTGTGAAAATCGAACCGGAAGAGGGAGAGGTTCACGGTTCGACTGGTTGAACCGGGGTCGAACCGGGGTCGAACCGGATGACGTAATAAATAATAATATTATTAAAAACTAATAAAATAAAATCATATAATATAAGTATATGGTCATTTAATAATATTTATAAAATTTTAAAATATATAATAAAATTTTATACATATAAATATCATTTAAGAATAATATATTTATTAGAATAGGAGTTTAAAGATGTTTCCTTGAACTCTTTATAAAGTGAGAAGTACACTCTCTTTGCAAAATAAATTATGTGAGGTATCTAAGATAACTTGCATGTATTATGATGAAATTAATCATCATATTTAATAAAAATATTTTTAAAATTTAAAAAAAAATTAATAAACAAAAATATATTTTTAAAATTTTAATTAAAACAAAAATAAAATATTTTTATGAACCGGCCGGTTCTTTCCAACCCGGACCGGTTCAACGGTTCACTGGTTGAACCGCCGGTTCAATCCGGTTTAATCTGGTTCTATGCAGAGCCGGTTTTGAAGCTGGATTGGACCGGCCACCAGACCGGTTCACGGTTGAACCGGTTGAACCGGCCGGTCCGATCCGGTTTTCAAAACAGTGGTAAAGAGTGTGGAGATGAGACAATTGATGCTCCTATTGATCAGCCTATAGACAAAACAAAAGGGAATGAGCGCAATGAACACAGTTCATCTACAACCAACATTAATTTGAGAGCAAACTTATTGGGCCTCTGCCAGTAATAAGGTGTAATGTATGACGAATGTGATCAATCCCCTTGCAAGCATAGCTACACACACAGTGTACTATGCGTAAACACACACGATAAATCTAAAATGTATAAACACCTACAAACTGCTGTAAGGTTTTCTTCGTGATCGTGCACACAACAGCTCGCTTACAGGTTAAAGAAGTAGAACTATGGTGAAGAATGCAAACCTGCAAGATGTATGAAAGTCGCACTTGCGGATGCTATTGGAAGACTTGTGGTCAATGCATCTTGCCCGCAAGAAGCAACAACAAATATGTTTCAAGGATGAGGGGTCCTTTGCAAACAAATAGAAGTTGATATGAATAAATGCAATCCAGCCGACAGTCAACATGAAATTACATATGAGCACCTTAATTTGCGTACTAGCTATAACGAAAGAGTTATAGTATACACAATAATATACCTACTAGTGATTAGCAGCAACAGGCGGTGAATGCTACGACACCCTTGTAGCCAATAACCATTCAACGTCAAGCGAATACATTGATTTCTCCCACAAGGATGGCGATATGAAGTGAATGCAAATACCTACAGGCTGCTGTAAAAAATGCATCGTGCATACAATATATCATTTGTAAATACAGGCATACGCACAACATGCCATCCACAAGTGAAAGTAGGAAGAAATGCAACAAATGTAAGTTCCTACGAGCTGTTGTAGGAGACCTGTCGTGTGCACGACATGCTTCCTACAAGCAAATGCGAGAAGAACTATTGTAGATACAAATGCCAGTTGGCGGTGATGAAAGATTCGACACAGTCTCAGTAGGTCTACGAGTGCTAATTAGTAACAGGCAATGAAAGCTACGACACTCTTGCTGTCAACCTCCATACAATGTCAATCAAATACATCAATCCCTTGCAAGTAAAGGGGGACGACATACAATGACTGCAGACCCTCACGAATTATTGTAAGAGACTAGTTAGTGCACGATAGTTTACATGTACACATCAACGAGTAAATAAGCACAGTGCGACGCCACGCCACCAGACTCGCAACATTCATACAAGCGGGCATATGACATTTAGAGGCTTCTAAATAGATTAGTGCGCACATCCAAATGCTGATCATTCGCACAGCTGATCAGTGCCAAATATAAAAAATGCCCTCACACTTGCACTGCAACAATATGTATGTACGTAAACACATAAGTGCACATGCAAGCACATTAACTTGTCTACATATAGTAATATATACCTGCATGGGCCCTAAAGAGAGTGTCGTATTGACACAAGTGACGTCCGAGGATGCAGCGCGGGCCAAGAAATAAACGTAAGTTCAAGTGCAATCATTCTCCTTGATAGGACGGATTTTGACACGATTTGACCCAATGAACAAATATATGGTCTCGCATTGACCGGGATATTTGATTTTATATGCTCATATTAGGCCTTTAAGGTGGAGAATTTGCCAATAAGGCACAAAGCCATCAATGAACTTGATCCTCTATCAGCAATTAGACAAAGTCGATAAGATTCAACAAATAATTATAAAAATACCCCTAAATACTCGCATGGGCCTTTTTTTGTTGCTCTTGGTTACAGGATTTTTTTTTGTGCATCATCCAATCTGCATGCGGATTTATTATTACACATTTCTTATAAAAAATTTTTCATCTAGTATTTACACTTATCCACATGCCATCTGAACTGATCCTTCGAACTGGAACTTGAGATTAGCATGCTATAACGAAATCAAATATTGTTGTTGCTTGCATTAGAACAAAACGTAATGCAACATGTGGACTTTCTTGGACAAAAAATAAAATAAAATATAAAAAATGTTATACATAGTTTATATGCATTCTATTGCTTATCTTACCCTTATTGTAATTGATCAAGAATTATATGCAAGTAATTCGGTTGATTTACCAGAAAGGGTGTTGTAGTGATTGAGAGTCTGATGTGATCTTAAATATCTAAGGCGGTATAATACTGGTAGTGGAATAGTTAGATGCATAAATATCATCGTTTCGTTTGAAAACAAAATTCGGATAAGTCATTATTTTTACACTTGTTTTGGTATAGACGTTCTGTTTTGTCATAATTTCTTTAGTTTTTTATATTCTCCAGGAAAAGCTGAATGAAGCATTATCTACAAGGGTTCCGTATTTGGTTGACGAGCAGCGTCTTGATGACCCACATGTTAAAGCAAATTTGCTGTTTCAGGTTGGAATGATCTATATTGTTTGCAGTCTGCACATCTAGATGTTCTTTTTGCATTGCCATATTTTATGTTATTGTTCGCTTTTTGCTTCTACACCAAATATAAGCTGTTATTTTCAATTCTAAAATGCAGGCACATTTTTCTCGTTTAGAAATGCCAATCAGTGACTATGTAACTGATTTAAAATCAGTTCTTGATCAAAGCATACGCATCATACAGGCAATGATTGACATATCAGCAAATAACGGATGGCTGACCAGCACAATGAATTGCATGCATCTACTGCAAATGGTCATGCAGGTATATCTCTCCCTTTTGTCTCAATTTGTTTAGAGTGATGCTAAAGTTGAAACATTCTTGATTAAATTGGCATAATCTACCTAATTGGTATTACTGGCATGTTGACTCTAAATTATTTGGGATCACACTTTTAAAGCATCTCAATGATGCTATATACAAATACGAACATCAACCCTTCCCCAATCTTGAATTGACGGGGCTGACACCATTAAGGTGTGTAAAATCCAGGAAAAGAAGGGTAATAATCTAGAATTAGTAATGGCAAGTCTCACTGAAAGGTGTACAAAGGTAAAAGGAAGAAGGCTAATAAGCTAGAATTAGTAATGGCAAGTCTTAATGAAATGTGTAAAAAGATAAAGAGAAGAAGACTAATAATCTAGAATTAGTCGAGACAAAGTCTTCTTGAAGGCTGAAGATGCTTCAGAGAGGGATATTGCTGCAGATTTCTGGACCAAGAACAAGGAAACTGCAGTTTATTGGCCGCGGAATAGGTTGCCAGCTGTTTTCTTGGTGGATGGAAGAAGAACAGTAGCAACAGGCCTTCTTGGAAGGAATTATGCACTTTGTAGCCGGCTGGAATGGGGACTGGTAGGTTGGAAGAAGTGCATTGAGACGTTGGATCTGCAGGTCGGCTGGATCAGGAGGAGATGTTGGAGCCTTCGGATAGCAGGAAGAGGGTGATGGCGGGGCTTTCAAGGACTGGACAAAGGTGGATGACTGCTGGAAACAGGCTGACTGCAGTTGGCAGGGAGGTTGACGGGCGGCCGGAAGGGAGGGAGGGAGTTTCGACCACCACTTGTAGGAATTCCGGGATATAGGTTACTAGAGGCTGCCTCTAGCGATGCTTCTAATTCTCCAAAATCTAAATTCTTTGTTGAAGACTACAATTATAAGTTTTTAAAGACATGAAGAGTAAATAGATAAATGAGGGAACAAAAAAAGGTGGAAAAAGAAATAAATAAACAAGCTCAATGTTGACCTCCATATATGTGTTATGATTAATGCAAGCAAATGCGAGGATGATCAATGGTTGTTGGTGGGCACGACGTTGTTGAAACACTGAAACTCCACCTGAGTGTAAAATGAACTGCATTAATGTATTTAGAATGTCAAATTTGCCAAATAGGAGTTGCTCGCATGAAAATCGGCTTGATCAAGTGATAAAAGTGACTATTGGTGGGCGGGACACTACGTGAAATTGTCAAATGACTTTCGATAGTCAAACAGACTGTGTCGATGCATCGGGGGCATCAAACTTATTTAAAGGGAGACCTCTCATGTTCATTATGAGCTTAGACAATCGAAATCGACGGATGGTGCACGATTTTGCCCGAACATCACCTATTCACAAAACAGACTTTGTTGTTGAGTCTGGAACGTCGAAAATACTCAGAAAAGATTGATATTGTTTGGGTCATCGCACGAGTGGAAGTGTGAAAATGGCATGAGCATCAATGCGAGGCATGCAAATCGAGGCACACTAAGTACAAGAAATCAAGCGAGGGATCAAATGATGTTATTTTAAATTAATTCTATACTTTATATAATAGAATATCAATTAAATTTATATAATTATATACATATATTTATTTAAAATAAAAATTCATTATAAATCATCCTATCATAATCCTATCTGTTAAATCTGAAAAGCAGCCAAAATCAGATGCATCCCTTGCCATTCCAAATGGCTCTTGTTCCTTAATGTTCCAGTGGAAATAAAAAAATTGTCAAATCTAATAGTCAATCTTTCTATTCCCTCCCATTCATGCTCTTATTCCACCCCCCTTCTCTGTTCAACACAAATCCACTCCACAACCAAAATCAACTCAACTCCTGCTCGTCTACTGCTCACACGCTTCCTCACTCTTGTCTCCAACCTAGCATTCTACAACAGTCTTTAAGCCTCTGCATAAGCCCCTCCTATTCTCCCATTCCCATTCTTCTCCGTTTGACCAAGCAGCGAATACCTGCTTGAACTCCAGTAAGTTTCTTCACAGGCCAAACCTCCCACCCACGAGCTTCCTAATCCCTATACTCTTCCCACCAAGCAGCTCATCACCTGCCAAACTCTAACTCCATCCCCTGTTCCCATACATGACACTTCCACTACCTGCAATTTTACCCGTTCAAACCTTCAACTGAGCTGCACACCAACTGCAAGCAAGGTTGATCTTCTCTTCACGTGAAGACCTCCTACATCATGTATTCCTTCTCCTTAAGCTACTTCCAACAGCCTCTCAAACACCTATGCAACCAACTACCAGCCCACCTTCACACTCCAAACAGCACCCCAATCTCCCACTTTTAAATCCACACCTCTTCCTACCTTTGGCCCAATAACTACAGCCCATTCACTCACTCACAGTTTTTCCACACCTTGCAAAACTGGCCTACCAAACCTCTACAAACGGCTCCACCACCTACTTCATCTACCCAAATCCTACAACCATCTCCACCTACACTTTTCCCATGTTCTCCCTAACAGAGCCTATTTCCCCGCTCTCTATTATTAATGTTATTATTATTGGTATTGGTAAAAAAAAAGAGAGGAAAAAGATTATTAAAAAACAAAGAAAATTTTGTATTGCCCCTCGTTGTTATCGTCGCCAGTGCCACCTCGCAAAGGTATAAATTTTAAAATCCCCAAATAAGTACATGTTTGTGTTGTTCCAATACAGTGGGAAAAATTGTCAATTTAAGTACTCATTCACATTGTTCTAGCATGGCAGGAAAATCTGCAAAATTAAGTATATGTTCATGTTGTTCAGTGTGGCGGGAAAAACCTGCAAACATAAGTACCCATCACGTTGTTCCGGCGTGGCGGATAAAATTTGTAAATCTAAGTACTTGTGCATGTTGTTCCAATGAGGCAGGGAAATTTGCATTTTTCATTCATGCAGGTAATGAAAAACCCATGCGCTTTTGATAAGCATGTTGGAGAAGAAAACTCTTGGCCGTTGTATCACCTAAAACCGACCATCCCGCTTCGGTATAAGCATGGTGGGCATGCCTTGGCTCTCCCAATATTTCTCCTAAAAGGTGAGGACTTTGGGAGGCTGCCAAAATTTAGAATGACACTTACAGGGAACAAGACCTAAACAAATTTACAAATAATCGTACAGAAGCTTCGGCACAATAGCTGGGTTTCGACGGGTTGGGCTTGAGGAGTTGATTCTACGAGCTGAGGGATGAGGTGGGTAGGGAGATCCGGCTAAACAGGTTGTGGTGTTTGGAAGCTTTGGTTGGGGGCTATGTGAAGGAGCATATGAGTCTGACTATAAGCGGCGAGAGGTGGAGTTGAAACAAAGGGATTCGTTCGGCTGTAAGGCTTTGATGTGCGAGCAAAAAAACAAAATGAAGAGCTTTTCATTCTCATTTTATTAGCGGGAGCAGAGGCACGATCGAGCATTTACGCAGGGGTTCCGGGATGAGACGTGAACGACGCCGAACGCAGGTACTTTTGCAGGATTTACGCGAGATTTCGACGTGTTTTTTCCGATTATTCATGGAGGTCAACATCAATCATGTATATATTAATATTGAAATCATCAATCATATTTAAATTAAATTAAATTCTGATATATATATATATATAAGTTAGATTTTATAGTAAAAAATATCTTTTTGAATCCTTGTATAATATAGTTAAAAGTTGTTGATTTGCCTCACTAAAGTTTCGTCATTCACGCACATGTTGAAATTTATATTCATCGCCTCACACACAGGTTAATATTTTATTTGTTCTTGTAATTTCTCATTGTTCGTACCCATCAAATTTCATTCTCGTCTTGCACATACAAGTAAATTTATTGGTTTGCCTTCGTGCGGCAACCCAAACAATATGGGAGTCTTCCAAAGGCATCAGTGCAATCCATTTTGTGGAACGCTCGATTGTTAAGTATTTTTCATGTGGGTGATGCATTTTAGATTGGTCTTGTGGGAGGTTGCATCTGCAATGTCTTTATCACAATGCCCGATTAGATCAAGTTACGGAATTGATATCAAGGTCAATATTAAATTCAAGCCTAAATTTTATATTTTACCTTAAAATTGAGCTTAAATAGCCTCCTAAATTAACACTGCACTCCTGTGAGTGGGAGGGTAACTAACCCTGGGAGTTTATATCCATAGGAATTATCGACCTCATACCTACATAAATTCGATCACAATGTTCTGGGAAATGTTATTAAAACAAACCTAATCCACCTCAAGGAAAACTTCTCCCTGAGTTTTCTTATGCATATTGATGAGGCTCGATGGAAAAGTTAGTTTTTTCAGAGTGAACACTCTCCCTCTTCTCTTTGTTCTACTATAACAGCACTGCTGCCAACCTCCATTGCTAGAAAGTCATTTGTTTCTATGTTTCAAGAATCCGAAGTTCAGCAGCCGATCACTTCTTGCAGCACCACTTATACATTTCCTGCTAGCTACAGCCGAGGGTCTCCCAAACCTTATAGTCAAAACCCATCCAACGCATATAGCTGCTTCTTTTCTCTTCTCTTTGTGACCCAAAACTGTGAATTCACTCACTGTTTAAGGTATTAAACAATGAGAAAATCATCCCTCAATGCATTCCATAGAAAACTTAATTATATTTTCTTGGGTACTTTCTTCCGATTTCTTAACCTTCTGCGCACCTAATTCCAGATTACTGGACAAAATGATTTTTGTTGTATAGGAGGCTAGTTTCTGCACAGGAAATCACTTAAACGAAAAAGTTTTGTTTGCATGTGTTTTTGGCTGGAAGCCATAAGGGACTATGCGGATCAATTAAAGCACAATCCGCTTTTAATTGACTATGTGCATCTTAATTTGTCCATAAGTGTGTTAACCAAACTCGGCATAATCTAGGTTGCATTGGATGTTTATGTTCTCTTTTATTTTTCAATTTGAACCAAACTCTCTCTCTCTCTCTATATATATATATATATCTCTCTCTCTCTCTCTATATATATATATAGAGAGAGAGAGAGAGAGAGATTGATTCAAAGTTGAATGGGAAGGAGAATATAAATATGCAATGCAAGCTAGATTATTATTATTTTTTAAAAGAGTATATATATCTGTGTTTTTCGAATTGTTTAAATCCATAAACACATGATGCTTTGCCATAATTTACACTTCCTTGCCAGGGTTTATGGTATGGGAGTGATTCATCTCTGTGGATGCTGCCAAGTATGACCGAGGATGTTCTAAGCCGCCTCAACAAACATGACATCTTTTCTATGCAAGAGCTAGTTGAGCTTCCAAATTCTAAGCTTGAGATGCTTTTAGAAAAAAATTGTGCTTCAAAACTATATCAGGTATTTTTTTTTTTAAGAAATTCCATCTTTCTGCTGCTGAAGCCATTGAGACGTGTCTGTAGCTCCTAAATTGTATCATGTGAACTTCCGGATTATTATGATGATTTTGCATATCCTTCCACTTTAATGGTCATCATTGTTGCCAAAGCATAAGCCCATCTGGGTTTCATAGACACATTTCCTGATGTTACTTCATTTTTCTGCAATAGCGTTGCGTAACAGAAACTGTTAGGCAGCTTTTAATATATGTATATGGGTTTTCTGCTTCTAGGAGGAGAATAACAAGCCCACTAATTTTACTTTTGCATCTGACACATTACATAGTCTTTAGACTCAAGATCACACCTTAATTGTGATCTACAAAATGAAAATTACTTCTGAATTAAATTTCATTAATTATCTGATAGGAAATATTTGAGTTCGCATGTAACCTTAACGGGAAATACTTAACCCTAACAAGAATTGGCGAAAACAGCGAGAAAACTTCAAGATCTCCAATGAAAACAATCAAAAACAGTAGATTGTATTATATGAATAAAACCAAAGGCAAGAACAAACAAAGATACAATTGATCCTCAATTCAAGAGGAGGATCATTCTCTCCCAATCTCTAGATGATGAATCTAGAGCCCAAAGCAACCAAGAGACTCCAAGAGAAACAATAATCAAAACATACCATAACCCTACCTTCTCATGTTTTTAAATACCCCACCTCCTAATAAAAGCTTCGTAATATAAACTAAATTCAAATTAGCCTTCTCATGCAAACCGCCCTCTCTCTATCTCTGTACTTGCCGCCCAAAAAAGGGGCTAAGCCGCCTCCTAAATGTCTGAACCAGCCCCTCTTTGGGCGGTTTGGGCTGTACCGTAACATTATCATAATAATTTTACTGGTTGGTCATCGAGCATTTGAAATAATGAGGATTGATTCCATATTGAAGCTCTCTTAAAAGTTAATTTTTTGCCCATGTATTTTACCAAACAATATTGCCCAATTTATGCTCAATACAATAAATATTCCATTTATTTAAACTAATTTTAAAATCTCTACAATTTGAAATCAATTATTTTCCCATGCAAAGCATCCATTTAGTTGTTGTGTGGCATTGCTTAATGTTTTTTATCATTACCATAGCTACACTATAACGTAATGCATGATGCTTGGCGCGCTGTTTCTCCTTTTGCCTGTTGCTGCGCTATTGATGGACATGGCAGATGGCAGTGGGGTTCAAGAATTGTTTTTTTTTTGGCATTGGAAGTACTAGTGTTCACAGTACCTTTTCGGTTGTTTTGGTTTTTTTATTTTCTTTTGCATTAGTTTTGATAGCATCTGTAACTGTTAGTAGACCATTGTATAATATTTATTGATAGCATTCAATAGTTTTCCTTCGTTTTAGCCAATCGATGTTTGGCTACTTTATATGTTTTGAAAGTAGTCAAAGCACCTTTTTGATGTTTTATTAATATTTTGGAGCAGACTAATAGTTTATGAAAATAAAATTAAATCATTTGCATAAGGATGTTTTCATTTTTTTTTTTTTCACGGTATGTTCTCAAAAAAAAAAAAAAAAAAAGAAGCTACATGCTTTATGCTATTCATTTCCAATCAAATGTATGATTTGCTGAATACAGGCTAGTTGCTGTTGACCTAATTCATTATGTATGGGTAACCATCTAACAAGATTCTTAATTCCTCAATAACCAACTTTTAATGATCCGAACATGTTTCTTTGAACTTATCATGCAGGAACTTCTAAATTTTCCCCGTGTTAAGGTAAAAGTAAACCTTCAAAAGAATGATGAACAAGGTTCAGCTTCTCGAGCTCTGGATATCAGATTAGAAAAGAGAAATCATAAACATACATCATCAAGAGCATTTGTTCCCCGATTCCCAAAGGTAAGGGATCCTCCTCCCCTTTTATTCTTGAAAGGTTTCTTATTTGCCATGTTTACCCCAAAATTGAGCTAAATTGAACTTAATGTGCTTAATTAGTTCTCAATCAGCCTAGTTAATAGTTAATACTTAAAACTAGGTTTGATTATTATTTATGATAATTCACGTTTAAATTTAACTTGAGGTCAAATGAGTCTAATTAATTTTTTTAAAGTGCATCAAAATTAGTTGCATTTGTTCCTTATCAATTTGGGCAACTGTTCAATTATTTCTCATAAATCATGCCTTGCCCACCCTAACTAGTCTGGGTGAGCTTACTAGCTTTTTTGATGGTATAAATCATGTTGTGCTCTACTATGACATCTATCAGAGCATGCCTTGTAGCCTTTTTTATACGAAAAAACTAACCTAAACCTTTTGGATTCTACTCTAAACAAGAGTCACAACTCCTATGACCTATATACATTTACGAGTACCATGGTCCTGTTCCTCTGATCCATTTTGTCTAACGTAGCCAAATGAGTCTTAATTCCTTTTATTTGTAAACTAAATTTTAAGACTCCACTATTTAAATTATTATATAACTATATACAAAACCATACAATAAAGGCCTTTTTGGCAAAAGACGTTGGTGGCAGGGACCTTGTCAGCTTTAAAGAACCACAGGAAACAAAAAAAGGAAAATCTTTGTAATATAAATAAGATAAGCTCACTTGGGTTTCATTATATTATGTTAACAAAACAAAAAAAAGTATCAATGTACATAAGGCTTTTGAATGATCTTAAACTCGACCGAAGGATTGGAATAGATCTTGGTGACTCAGGAAATGTCCACCCGAGAATAACAAATCATAACCAAATTGTCATAATAACCCAAGGGTCCTAACTCAAATACATTCAATTTTGACTCGGTTAATCTGGTTGATAGGTTATGGACCTGAGTATGATCTTGCTATATATATACGACCAAAGAAGAGCAAATTCTCACACATTTAGCGAAGTTGTCTCACCAATTGCCCCAAGGCTTTTGTATATTTTTTATAGTACTTTGTATACCTAAGAAATATGATAACCATGAAAGATCAGGCATGCTTCTAGTAAGACATTAGGCAGTAAATATCTTTCCTTTGTGGGTATAATGAAAGCACATAACTTGGTGTCCAAGAATCTAGCATGAAATAATTCTTCTTCCATATTCGATGTGTTGGAGATGAATGTTCAACCATGAGTGGCTCAGCGCTTCCCTCCGACGAATTACTGGCATGCAACACAACCACCTCTAAAGGGTCATGCAACAGAGTAGTAGTATGTTGAGTTATGCTCCCTCCTCGAGAAAGTTGTGAATCTAGATATCTATAATGGCAGCTCAAGCTTGCATTGGCAACCGCAACTTTTTATAAATCTAACGCTAAAACCTAAAATATTTGGGTAAACTAACAACAATATCAACATATCTATCCTGTTCTTATCTGTTGAAGATGCTTATGAAAAGAATTCTTCTTAGAAGAGTATGCATTTTTCGTTATATCAATAATCATGATACTGCATGTAACTCACATATTGTTCCTCGGGCAATAAGTATTGGTATTTGAATCCTAGAATACAACTATGCATCAAACCCATTAAGGTGGAATGCTCTCACAATTAAACAATCATTTGCCCCATCTGTTCTATGACATCTATGGTTGGTTGTAGACATGTAGCTAATTTGGTTAAATGTGTTTTCTAAATGATTTTACTCCCATTTCTCATCTTAATGGAAGTCATCATAGGATCATGATAAATTGATGTGGGCTCTGAAAATTCGCACCTCGGCCTCTCCGCAGACCCTTTATTTTCTTTTTCTTCGGGTTGTTGGGGAGAGTTTTAACGATTATGTTCTGAGACAAAATTTTCAGAAGGAGAATTGGGTTTTAAATAAGACCCTTTATTGTGGATGCTCCGATCGCAACAATGCTTTCCATTTTGCGGTCGAAAGCTGTTTGGGTGATGTTGCCTTGTGATTTTCTCGATGTGTGTCATTGCCTTAGAATGTGTGTGTATTTGGTCGCGTGATCTTAATTGAACAAAGTGATAGTCGTTTTTTAGTATTGATTCCGCTCTGAATGCAACGGCGAAGTCCGTTTTGGGATCGGACGTCGTTTGGTCAACGTCGTGCGTCAACTTCGGATGGCAATTATCCCTTTTGATAGATCTCATCCGATTTGATTGTGAGGAGTTTCCATTTAGGTGAATTCGACGCTCTAATCGCAACGCATAATCCGTTTAACGGTCGGAGGTTGTTTGACCATTCGAGTGATGCGTCGTGTGTCAATTTTTGCTCTTTTTGCATGTTTTTTTAACACGGGTCAAATTGAGTAATCAAGTGAACTTATGAAGAAGCCACTATAAACAGTACATCCCCTCAGTATTTTCTCATGTTGATCAAACTTGTCATCAAGCTCGACCGTTTTTGTAATGTTGATCAAACATTACAATCCCTCTAGGGTCGTGGTTATCTATTGTTTTTTGAATATCTTTGTCATTAGGTTCATCCTGTGGCATCCCCATAAGCCTCCTCCAATCAAACAGTTTTTGTAAAAGGAAAACAAGAAGATTAGCATATTAATGTGCATAAATTATTAATGAGGATGACAAACATTGTTCACTTTTCACATGCACCAAATTGATTATGGGCATTTGTTGATTTATCAATTCACAAGTTAATTAGGCCAATGTATCGAAAACAAAGATAAATGTAATCCCATAAAAGCGCGGCTCATAACAGCCTTAATATTTTTCTCATCTCACCAAATAAACAATCCTGATGCATTCAGAATGCCGAGACAACTCAAATAGTCTCCCTTTTAGTTCACTTGAGTTGCGACGCACAGAAAAGATTGCTGACAAGAGCAATAATATTCTCGAATAGTTTGCATAAACAAATATTCTCAAAGAAAAAATTGGTGGGAGAAGAATGAAATGTTATTAAATAATAATAATTAAAAAAAGAATAATATAAATACTAAATTAAAGATAATTAATTAAATTAAAATAAAGAAAAAATCATATATAATATATATATATATATATATATATATATATATAGTGGTAGAAATCACCCTCATCTTTAAAAAAAAAATTTATGATGGCATTAGTCAAATGGGAGCTAGCCAGTCCCTTGTAAATATGAAAATAAATTTAAGAAAAATTTGACACCCTTTAGGGCTTCTTTTTAGCAGCACCGAAAGCAATCAAACATAGTAACCCGGCATAATCCCTATACATGATTTTCTTGATGCAATTGTAGATTTATTTTATATTTTTTCATGTTTTCTTTATGTATGGAACCAACAGATTATTCATACCTACTTTTCTTGGCACAATGAGTGTGAAGGCTACTTGTCCAAATGCTCCATATATAGTTTGACTATATGCATCTTTCTTGAAATCTTCAGAAACTTAATTTCGATTGTAATGACTCTAGATGATAAAAAATGCTAGTACCATCGGTAGCCAGAGCCCTGCATTGGGTACCCATACTCACACCCACCCATGTACCCACCTATACCCATTGGTGGGTATGGGTACGCCCATAGCCTTGTGGGTGGATATGGGTGGGTACTCAACATTAGAGGATAAATCGATTTACATTGTTAATCACCGTATATCTTATATTACTGCAATTATCACTACATAGTGCGCAATACTTAATCATGCTACGACTACAATAAATTATGATATGCATTTTGAAAGTTTGCAATCAGAGAAAAGGGTAGCAAGCCTCAAGGTCATTAATCCGTGGCAGACTACATTCAAAAAACATGGAAAGTGGGAGGGTATAATTGGGTATGGCATTCCGAAAGTCACCATATGTGGGTGTGGGTGCGCGAAACTCATCCAAGTAAAGCATGGGTACCCAACCAGGAACCCATGTAGGGCTTTGTCAGTAGCTCCATTAGAAACCCTAATAGTTCGCACTCTCACTGCTTCTAAATGATCAAGACTTCCACAAAGTGATTGATTCCCCTACTACATCAACTTTAAAACGTTCAACTAAGGCATTACGGAGATCATCCCTCTAGTGGTCAATCATCCTACGCTGGTATGAACTTCATCAAAATTTTGTAACCTTGTATGACATGGCCATGGATTCCAAATTTTTCTCTTGTTAAACATTTTGTTTGACTTTACCAATTCTTGATATTCATATCTCTTAGAGAAGGAATGACTCTTTTGCTTATGAAAAAACAGCCATTTCCCTAAAGACTGAAACATTAAGTATTTTTTAACAGGTGAAAGATGAGGCCTGGTGGTTGGTTCTGGGAAATGTTACCACTTCAGAACTCTATGCCTTGAAAAGAGTTAGTTTTTCTGATCGGATGCTCACTCGCATGGAGTTACCATCAACACCACTCAATTTTCAGGTATAATACTGTTGTAGATTTTATTTGAAATTGCTTTTTCTAAAGTAGCTTTCTAATACAAAATTTTTTATACTGAAAAATTATTTTAGGAAGCGGTAAGAAAACTGCCCTGAACAAAGCCTTTATTCATGTTAAGATTTAGTCCTGGATTATTACATTAAGGCTTTGTTTGGGAGGGCTTTCTTCTTATTTTCTAAAACAGCTTTCTCGTACAAAAATTTCTTGAATTTGAAAATTTTGTACTAGAAAGTCGTTTTAAAAAACAATATGAAAGCTGTTCCAAACGAATTTTTATTCCGTCAGGTTACCTGATGTAGCTCTACGTCAGGTAGCCAATAATATGTCGCCACATGCTCTTACTCTTTACCGCGCGGCCCGACGACCCGGCTCGGACCAAATCCGGGATTACTATGTTCGCGTATTGCTCGGTATTTGCTCGGTATTGCTAGGTATTACTCGATATTGCTTGGCAATAACGAGAAATACCGCTCTGTGAAGATCAATACCAAGCAATACCTAAAAGAACTCGGTATTACTCTTCACAGAATGGTATTTTTCGTTTTTGTCCAGCAAAATCGACCAATACCTAGCAATACCAAGCAATACGCAAATTCCCGGGTCCGTTCCGAGTCGGGTTGTCGGTCCGCACGGTAAAGGGTAAGAGCACGTGGCAACATATTATTGGCTACCTGACGTAGAGCTACATCAAGTAACCTGACGGAATAAAAATTCGTTCCAAACAAAAGCCCTAAGGCTTTGTTTAGTACAATTTTTTTAGTACAAAAATTTTTTGAACTTAAAATTTTTATAATAGAAAGCTGCTATAGAAAGCACTAATGAAGCTGTCCCAAATAAAGCCTAAGACTTTTTTTTTTCTGGTGATCTAATTTTTTCCCTCACTGTGTTAGGAAACGAAGCTTCTGTTGGTTTCTGATTGTTATCTTGGACTGGAGCAACAATACTCTATTGAAGCATCTCATTAAGGCTTGACTGGTTAACCTTCAAGACGATGTACTATCACAGTTCATATTTAAATTGGTAAATATTAGTAAGATTTATGATGTGGAATTTTTATAATTGTGTTATTAAAGAAAATGTTTATCATTTATATTTATTTAATATGCAATTATAATATCATTTTTTTTTAAATATGAGTATGATCACAAGTTGGGCTAAATATGTGTTGAGAGCTAGAAAAATATTTTATTTTTATTTTTTCATTTTTACTCATGTTGCGTTCTGGAATATTCAAAATATATAATTTAATGACTTAGTTTTGTATGAAGATTCAGCACACCCTCAGATAAAATAAAGGATGCAACATTTAAAAGATACCAAGTTTTTTTTGTGAAAAATCCTAAAAATTGGAAAAATCATGTACCTGGACAAGTTTGAATGAATACATTAGTATTTGTAGTTGATTACAAATGAGGCCCTTAAGGGTAAGGCCTTGACTTGATGTAACAAAAATATATCATATGAAGTGAATTACATTGTGGTAATATACTATAGACGTGTTCGTTTGGTCAGAAGGATCATATTCGGTGGATGATGGAGGTTGGAAAGACTATAGTCGGGTGACGGTGGTCGAAAAGGACCCTAGTTGGCAAAAAATGAAGGTCTGAAAGATTGTTGTATGGCAATGGAAGTTGGAAGGACTCTAGTCGGCGGACAACGGAGGCCGGAAGGACCTTAGTCAGTGGGCAACGGAGGTCGGAATGATCGTTGTATGGCGATGGCGTTCTGAAGGATCATAATCAGCCGGTGATAAAGGTGAAAAGGACTGTAGTCTGCGGGCGATGGAGGTCATAAAGATCATTGTTTGGAGATGGAGGTTAAAAGGACCGTTGTTGGATGAAAGTCCAAGAATAATTGGAAGTTGGGTGGAAGTCCGGCATCAATCGACGGGCGACAGAGGTCGGAAAGATCTTTGTCTTATGACGGAGGTTGGAAGGATCGTTGTCGGGTGGAAGTCCAAGAATAATTGAAAGCTGGGTAGAAGTTTGGCGTTAATCGGTGGGCGAAGGAGTTTGAAAGGATCGTAGTCGGCGGGCGACGGATGTTGGAAAAATTGTTGTCAGGTGGAAGTCCAAGAATAATAGGAAGTTGGGTGGAAGTTCAGTGTCAGCCGGCGGCCGAGTGTAAGTCTAGTGTCAATTGGTGGTCGGGCAAAAGTCCGGCGTAAGTTGGTGGCCGGGCGGAAGTCTAACGTCGATCGGTTGCCCGGTGGAAGTCAGGCAGTAGTTGAGATGTTTGGTGGCAAGAGAACTTAAGTTTTCTTCCCCCCCCCCCCCCCCCCCCCCA